CCTGAAATCAAATAGAATAAAATGTGTTAAAATGTTATTGAAAGTCAGGGCTTAACATTAAGTACATACATACTTAGTACTATGGCAGTATAACTGTGTGTATTAGACAGCAGTGGTATATAAAACTACATATTATCTTCTTTCTGGTTATTAAGAATGCATTCAGTATGGTTATATGGCTAATCTGGTAATGTAGTTGAACAAAAATTTACAAGACTGTAAAAAAAAAATTGCAAAATTTACAAGACTGTAAAAAAAAAAAAAATTATGAGAAATAAATAATTACACATAATTAAAAAAAAATAACAATACAATATGTCTGAAATTCTTGAAAAACAGGAACCATACTTTTGCCTGATCTTTTTCCAACGGTCCATGTGATCACAGAGGAGTGAGCCTGATACAGACTCTGTTGACTGTGGGGAGAGAAAAGACACGTTAGTTTTCAACATCATTTTAATCCGTGTTCTACTAAATAAGTAGAAGACTGAACATTGAAGTTAGTAACTGGACATATTGAACAATATTCAGCACCTTGGTAACAGTGGGTTTATCAGTCGGTGGGATCCTCAGATTGATGAGTTCTCCAGAGTTGCTGACAGGACAGGGGGTTGGAGGAGGGAGTCTGTATACATTCTGATTTTTACCATTTATCATATCTGTGACCTGGCAAAAAGAAACACAGAGACAAGCACCATGTAACATCAACATCATATAACATCATATGCAAACAATGATATTTAACCATATTTAAAAAAGCCATTAATTTATGTTTTACCATGTTTGGTGCAACAAATGATTTACGTGTGACATTTAAGTAAAGTAGTATTTCTAATTAACCAAGGAACAAGACCGAATATATAAAGTCATCATTGAATTAAAAAAAGGGATTAGTTGATACCATGTGCAGATGACCATTACAAATTAAACTAATCTTTATTCAATATGACTATATGTTCTCACCTCTTCCTCTACCACATTGTGGGGAGGACTTGGAGAACGAGCTGGCTCTCGAACAGAGGGATTGTTCCTCATCCATGCACGACAGATTGGATACAGCGGTGTACCAGTGTGGAACTGAGCCAAATCCACACTGCGATCAAATAGTTTAATGACATATGCATCTGGCAGAAGAAAACAGACAAAACTAGTTTGGAACAACAGTCACACAGTAACTGAGGGGATAATATTGTCCTGTATGGATAGTGAGTGCACTTTGTTTATGTTGATTGGTCTCTGGTATGCCTTCGTCCATTTCTTTTCGCTTCTTTCTTCGATGCTGAGAAAAGCGAGATGAAGGCCTGAAAATGTATTAAAAAAAAATTGTACCCTTGTGTGCAATATCATTTTAATTTCCTGTTGTGAAAATATGTACACTTGCCTTTTTCCAGCAGATGATGGAGACAAATCCCTAGTGCAAATAAATGGGAAAAAAAGAAGAAAATTAGTAATGATTGCTAAATAATCATTAACCAACACCACTCAAAACACCAAACTGTGGACCATTATTTATGTAATGGAAATTGACAAGTTATGTTGATCCTTACTTGGTTAGAGATTCTGACAAACTTTTCCCAGCATCGCCATCATTTTGTTCCCTGTTGGAAATGCAATTATATTAATCATACTACAATTTCAACAACAACTTAAAGGCCAAAACGGACTTCTTTAACCTTTCATTTTCACTCTTCTCAACCAGTCCCTTCAACACTGCATCCAGTCTGTTTCGTGCACCAATCATCTCCATATCTGTCAAAGAAAGACAGTTGCATTGAAATAGCAATACCTAGTATGTTGACGCCATTTAACAGCAATAAAACAAATTGCATAAACCTTTTAAAACACCGGAAAGGGAATCCGGTTCGAAAAAAGAAATAAATTAATAGATGTTTATCCTCAAATTGCGATACATGCACTGTACTGCATAATTTATGTATTTTTCAAGGACTGATGAGGGGAAAACTCTTACCTGATCTTTCAGACTTTATCTTGACGTGGTGCATTTTGTATCCCTTGTTAACTATCCGTAAATTAAACAAAGGTAATTACAACGTCGCAGCTCATGCAGACGGATCTTGAACTCTTTACGGTAA